CCTCATCATTTTTCCTTTCATCTGTCCTACTCACTCTTTCTGAGAAGCAGATAAATTATAACAATATATGATTCTTTTCTGGAGAAAGGGTAAACTGCTTCTTTTTGTTCCCCAACTGAAATGTGGCACCAGCACACAGCACTAAGTTCTCCAGGGTCCCAAAGTCCCCATCTGTGCAGTGCGTTGACACATATTCAACCTATTTTTTTTTTTTTTTTTTTTTTTTTGAGAAAAGGTCTCACTCCATAACCCGGGCTGGTCTCAAACTCAGCCTTGTTTTAGCTCTCGGAGTGCTTTGTATTTATAGGCATGAGCCACCACCTGGCCTTAAATAGAAGGGAAAACAAAACAAAACCAATGACATTATTTTTATTTTATATGTAGGGGCACATGCACGAGCAGTACAGAGTCCAGGCTAGAAGAGGACACCAGACCTAATAGAGTTAGAGAAAATTGGAGTGAGTCAATCAACACAGTGCTAACAACCACACTGGGATTCTCCTACAGGAGTGGCAAAGTGTGAAGTGCTCTTAACTGCTGAGCCACCACTCCAGCCCCTTATGCTTTGAAAAAAAGGGGGGGGGGGCACACAGTCTTAGTATGTTGTGCTAGCTGGACTAAAATGCTGCTATGTAGACTAAGCTGGTCTTAAACTCACAAAAACTGACCAGGTTCAATGCCTTTTTTTAGGTGATACCCAGATTCTTTTACTTTGAGACAGGGTTTCTCGGTGTATCCTTGACTATCCTGGAGTCACTTTGTAGACCAGGCTGGCCTCAAATTCACAGAGATCCACCTCTCTCTACCTCCTGAGTGCTGGGATTACAGGCATGTGCCACTGTGTCTGGCTTGATGCTCAAATTCTTAAGTTTAAGCTCTGAATTTGGTAAAATCCTCACTACACAAAGATGATGGAACACAGCTATTCTCTGACACTGGCTTTAACTAGTTTCTTCTTACTTTTATTGCTCAGGCTGACCTGAAACTCCTAGGCTCAACTGATCCTTTTGCCTCTATCTCTTGAGTAGCTGTTATAGGTGAGCAACAAGCATGCCATGCTCAGCTCTAGAGAGGCTGCATTTTCTACATCTTTTGAGGTAAACAAGAGACAGTCCTGAAAGTAGAATTCAAACACTGCCAGTCTATTCAGTCATCTCAGTCATAGATCACTAAGTTCCTCATGTTTACCTGTGCCAAAATGTCTTAGCCAGTGTTGACAGCTATTATTTCCTAGTGATCCTTGATAAACAGTAAAGAAGCTCTTTGCGCTTTTCACATGGTTGGAGATCTTTGGATGCCTCCCCTTAACTCATTCACCTGCCTTCTTGCTGCCTCCTTTTATTTTCTACATTCTCCCCTGGTATACTACTGAACCACTGTTTCCTTTAATCTTCATACCGAGGCCAGGCATGGCAGCTGGTACACACTTGTGATCCTAGTATCTGGGAGGCTCAAGTAGGAAGAGTCCTAATTGGAGGTCAGCCTGGGCCCCCACCAAACAAGGCTCTGCATAAAAACAAAACCAAACTGGTTTTTTGTTTTTGTTTTTTTAGCTACTTTAAATTGCTTACTTAAGCGAGTTTGCATATTTTTACAAGGAACTTTGACCTTGAACAAGAGAATAGTGTAATATAAAATAGCTCTCTACAATGGGATTTCGTAAAATTAAGATCTACAGACATTATCTTAGAACTGAAATTATATTCATTTTTATGAACTAGAAATGCATAGACCAAAATAATGTTGAGATAATCTTATGAATCATTTCTTTAATAAAATTTCTAAAGACAATTACCCAGTTAAACAAGTCTCAAACGTCAAAATTTATTATTTTCCACATACACATGTGATGGAATAGCTGCAATAAAAAGAAGCTGTTGTATGGCTGGGAGTGGTGCATCCCCACACTCAGGGAGGCAGAGGTAAGTGGATCACTGAGTTTGAGGTCAGTCTAGTCTACAAAAGTAGGTCCAGGACAGAAAAGGCCTGGTTGTCAAGCACATTGGACATGGCTCAGAAACACTTGGAACTGCAATTCCAGGGATCTAACACTTTACTCTGGCTTCAAAAGGCACTCATGCATGCATACGCATAATAAAATTTTATTTTATTTTGGCTTTTTGAGAAATGGTTTCTCTGTGTAGCCTTGGCTGTCCTGGAAATCACTCTGTAGACCAGACTGGCCTTGAACTCACAGATATCAGACTGCCTCTGCCTCCCAAGTGTTGGAATTAAAGGTGTAAGCCACTACCAATTGGCTAAAATTAAAAAGAAAATCCATATATGGTAGCACATATCTTTACAAACATAAGCACTCAAGAGGCAGGAGAGTATTAGTGAGTTCAAGGACAGCCAGGGCAACACAGAAAGACTGTCCTCAAGAGTGGAGAGATGGCTCGGCGGTTTTGAGCACTGAATGCTCTTCCAGAGGACCTAGGTTCAATTTCTGGGACCCACATGGCAGCTCACAACTATCTGTAATTCCAAGATCTGACACCTTCACACAGATATGAATGTGTAAAGCAGGCAAAACACCAATGAATAAAAATTAAAATTAAAAAAGACCCTGTTTCAAAAAACAAAGACCTGGAGATGGCTCAGTGTTTTAAAAGCATACACCACTCTTCCAGAAGACCAGAGTTTAATTCCCAGTACCTGTATCAGGCATCTGATAAACATCTGACACCTCTGGCTTTTTCAAGGGCTTATGCTCTGTGCACATACCCACAAACAAATACAAATTATGTATTAAAAAAAATAAAACAAAGCCAGGTGATGGTAGCACATGCCTTTAATTCCGGCAGAGGCAGAGGCAGAGGCAGAGGCAGAGGCAGAGGCAGAGGCAGAGGCAGAGGCAGAGGCAGAGGCAGGTGGATCTTTATGAGTTATAGGCCAGTCTGGTCTACAGAGTGAGTTCCAGGACAGCCAGGGCTATATATACAGAGAAACCCTGTCTCAAAACCATCCAAACAAATAAAAGCCTAAACAATGACCCCCCCTCCAAAATATAAAATAAAAAAAAAAAAAAAAACAAGCCAAAACTTTTTGAAGAGAACTCAAATAGCAAAGGAAATAATCCCCAGATGAACAAATGAGATTTTATGAGAAATTAAAAAGCTTCTAGCAGGGCAGTGGTGGCACACACTTTTAATCCCAGAACTCAGGAGGCAGAGGCAGATCACTGAGTTCAAGGCTAGCCTGGTCTACAGAGTGAGTTCCAGGACAGTCAAAGTTACAGAGAAACCCTGTCTCAAAAATCTAAAGCCCAACCCCACCCCTCAAGGAAGGAAGTATCTAGAGCAAAAAGGCAGCTTACAAAATGGAAAAGCTACACAAACAGAGGATTAATACAGAGAATATAAGTATCAAGAGCAGTAAAAATTAAACGCCGAAAGAACAAATCTCATAATTCATAAATGAAGGGGTAAAAGAACTGACTAGACAGTTCAAACCAAAATAACAACAAACTAAATAGATGTGGTGGTTCTTGTTTTTAATCCCAGTAAATTGGAAGGCAGAAGCAAGGGGCTCTCTGTGAGTACGAGGGTTGCCTGGTCTACATAGCAAGTTCTAAGACAGCCAGGACTACATATAAGAAAGATCCAGTATCTCAAAAAACAAAAACAAAAAATATACAATTGCTCAACAAATATCTGAAAAAGTGTACTTAGTCATCAATACAAAGTATATTAAAGCTGCTATAACCCGGCTGAATAGTTATAGAGGAAACCAATGACTGGAGCTGGTTGCAGTAGAGTGCTTGCTATTCAAGCCTAAGGGCCTGAGTTCAATCCCCATCTCACTGCCACATATGTGCCCCGTTCAATTAAATATAGAGGAAGAAAATAAGACAAAGATAACCAATGACAATAAGTGCTAGTAAAAACCAGTGGAAAAAAATTCTTATACATTGCTGGTGGGAATGTAAACTACTGGTACAGGTGTTGTGGAAGTCGTATGGTAGTTCCTCAAAAAACTACAAGTAGAGGTACTCTGTTATCCAGATATACCAGAGTGTACACCTGAAAGACTACAAGTCAACATGACACAGATATTTGGATATACATTTTTATTGCTGAACTATTCACAATAGCTAAGAAATGGAACCAGCTTAGATGCCTACAACAGATAAATGAAGAATAAAAATATGGCAGCTGGGCAGTGGTGGCACACACTGATCTCTGTGGTTCAAGGCCAGCCTGGTCTACAATGCAAGTCCAGGAGAGCTAGGGCTCTTACTACACAGAGAAACCCTGTCTCAAAAAAACCAAAAATAAATAAATAATGATAAAATAAGTTAAAAAAAAAAAAAAAAGATGTGGCACATAATTATACAATAAAGTTTCATACAACCATTATTGAATGGAAGTGCAGAATATTATGTGCAATCTATATTTGTGTGGGAGAGGATGGGGTAGAAAGGAATCCATGGGAGGGAAGGAAAAGAGAAGAGGAAAAAATACAGGGTAACGAAGAAATATTATGTGACATGAAAAAAGAAAGAGGGGGCTATTTGGGGTAGGAAGGGAACCACAGAGCGTATGGTTGGGAAGGAGAGAATCAGCTGTGGGCCAGTTCTCCAACATCTGTCTCCCATTTCACCACAGTAATGTTGGCATTACAGATGGGCACCCCTGTATTACTTTGTTGTTGCTATTTTTAAATATAGGCCTTGGTGGTAATTCAACCAGGAGATTTTACCAGCTGTACCATTTCCAGGGATTATACTCAGGTCATCAGATCTACTCACTGAGCCATCTCACTTGTCCCATATTTTCTATTTTGGTGGTAAGCGTCATCAAGATTTTAGCACTAAGTCTACACTGAATATAAAAATGTTTCCATTTTCAAAATAGTGACTGTCACTCTAGAAATTGAAACACGGAACAGTACTGACACAGGCACATATTAACTTCCCTGCTGAAGCATCCTTAATCCCTATACTTTTTTCCTCCAAGTTCAGAAACTTGACTCTCCTAGACAAGTCAACAGCTGCTTACCTTTACATCAGCAATTAGAGCATCTTCGTCTTCTATCCCTGTGGGGACACACTTCTTGTGCAGTGGCAGTGACTCTAACTTATCTACAAGACAGCGAAGACCTTCAAGTTCAAAGTGGGTCAGATGCACTTGCCTATCCTTTCTAGGGCTACACTGGGGATCCCAAACTTGGCCATTGTGGGATCCTCGACTAGAGTCTGAGGGTGAGTCTCCAGACAAAGTTTTCTTCAAACTTGGAAGACTTCGGCAGGCTTTGCCAAGTCCATCATAATCCAGGTTGACGCCATTAGCAACGGGGCTGGTAAGCACAGACCGCTTACTGTTCAAGCGTCGGGCTTCTTTGTCCACCCCTTCCTCATCACCAGTTCCAGACTCCAACTCACTTAGTTCCATATCTACCAAGGCAAAGGAAGTATCAGTTAGTTAATTGATCATTAAGAAAAACAGCACAATACATGCAAGGTTATAAATGACAAAGCCAATGTTGAAGACCATAGTTAGAAACAGAAATAACCCTGTAGTAGTTGGGTGGAGTGGTGTGTGCCTTTATTCCCAACACATTGGTAAGGACAGGCTGGAGACTCTCTGTGAGTTCCAGGCTAGCCTGGTCTACATTGTGAATTTCAGGCCAGCTAGAGTGATACCCTGCTTCTAACTAACTAACTAACTGACTGACTGACTGACCGACCGACCGACCGACCGACCGACCGACCGACCGACCGACCGAC